ATGCAATGATCTTGTACTTAAAATAATCTTAAGTACAAGAGCATCGCACAGGACCTGATTATAGCACGAAACGCAACCAAAATTTCGCAAATCTGCGTTGCCCACTTAGCAAAATGTGCAAATTGGCTACGTAGTTCAATGTCCACGTTTTCAATGTCCACAGAGGGCGTATCGCATTCGTGTATCACGAAAAACGGGGCCGTGACATCTCTCAGGCTTCTCTCTGTTCATAGTCCGTTCTTATATTTAACATTATCTTAAGTATACTCTTAATGCGTTTTCCACCAATCACAGAGCCGTATTAGCGTCTTAAGACAACACTTAAAATGATTTAGAAATAAGAATCGACTATGAATACCGACCATAGTATAACTTATAGTAGGTTCACTCCGTCATTTAATTGTCTCGTTTTGCGTCGATCCCTTCTGCACATTCGACATTGCTCTGGACAGGGGGCAGAGACCAATGAGAAAAAAGTTGTGGGTGCGGTAGTGCGATTTGACAAGTACATACGTATACACGAATAGCACGAAACAAATGACGAAGTGGTTTAGAAATTCATAGTTATGGCAGCAAGGTATCGTGAACAAACCAAGATTAGCTACGGTAGCGAAAACTTTCATTTAGCGTACCAAAGCAGATCAGTTCCTGTTTGACCTACTTTTTCCAGTTTCAAGAATTGAAAAGAGATCAAAACCGACATCAAAGTTAATCTGCACTGGTGGAACAGACAGTAAACGTTAATTCAAAGGCGCGTCACAGTTGACACGAAAATGGCGGACGATGATCCAAATCCCGACTCTCGGGGACTCTATTCCTTTGGCGGGGGGGAGAGGGAGAGTCGCGCAGGAAACGGCAGGCGGCGCGCTCGTCGCGGCCGACCGGATGTTACCCGCGGGGTCGAAACAGCGATTGGACGTGGCCGCGAGCGTCGCCCGGGCGGGAGGGCCGCGTCGGCCGCGCGTCCACCGCGTCGTCGCGCCGGCGGGAATAAATGCGCGGCGACGGCGCGCAGCGCGGCGGCGCGGGCGCGAGCGCGCGGGCCCCGCGCTTGACGCCGCGAGTGCTCGGCCGAACGGCGACGCCGTCCGCCATGTTTGTTGTGTTAGTTTCGGAGGGATGATAAGCGGCACCGCGAACGGCGTCCGGGGGATTTTGAATGAGACGCGTGTGTGAGCCGCGGCCGCGTTACGTCCGTTCCGTGCCGGCGTGCGAGCGCGCCGGCCGCCGCCGACTCGCCGCGGAGCATGGTAAGCAAGCCGCGGGCTGCGCCCCTGGCCGCCCGGCCGGCCCGCGTCGCGCCCCGGCCGCCGATTTTCGCGCGCGGATTTCGCCCCGTCCCGCACGATCGCCTCGCTCCGTGCGGCGGTTCGCCGTCGCCTCCGCCCCGCTGCCCCCTCGACCGTCGTCGTGGCCCGCCGTCGCGGTGCGACGTGACGTCGTGTCGCACTTTTGAAAGCCCCTTTTTTTCCCCCGCGCGCGTCCCCGACGACGACGACGAGCGGGCCGTCCGTCCGCGGTCCTGAGAGCCCGGTCGACCGGCGTCAGACGTCTCTCTCCCGGCGAAACCGCCGCGTCGCGACGCACAGGCGGTGGGCCGCATGTAAATCGATATACCGCTCGCCGTGTGTGAGTGTGTGTGTGCATGTGTGTGTACGCGCGTGTGTCCCGCGCGTTCGCACGCACACGGGCGCGCGCGCTCGCGTACGCGTACGTGCGTGTGCCCCCACGCACACAGGCGCGCCTCCGGAACGCCCCTTTTTTATGAAACGATCGAACTTCTTTCCCGCGCGATCTTCACCCGGCGTGAAAAACGTCCCGCGGCACCTCGGCGGATCCGACAATCGGCTCGGGCCGATACGAGTAACGATTTTTCACATGTGCACTTGGAGGAAGCGCCGCGAGAGAGAAATTAATCGAGGCTCGAAGAGGATTTTTATTTGTTGAAGGAATTTTTTAGTATTCCCGTACGAAAAGTGAGCTTCAAGAAACAAAATTTTTATTGATTAACCAGGGGGGGGGGGGGAATTCGTTCCCTTACGCTTACCTTATTTCCCTTCGGTGAAGGATATCGTTATCGAGATTGGTATTGTGGTTTCAGGACACTTAACTTCGTTGAAATGTGGCTGAGAAGCGAACGGATTAGCAGGAGATTGCGTGGCCGTTTAAGCTTGAGCGGTGTAACGGCATCAAGAGCAACCGGTCATCGAGCGCAGGTTACAGCAGCGAGAAAAGTACAACACATTAGTAATAGTAGCCGAGTAATAACGTCAAGTAAATGCAGCCGACTAAGTCAGTGGCGACGTAGGTCATCCGGTTTTCTAAAAGAAGTAAGCTAAATGTCATTTGCAAAGACGATGGGGGGGGGGGAAGTCCCTTATCATGAGATAAAGCTCCCAATATGAGGTAACCGGCTTTGTGCCAAGTTAATAGGCATCTCCGTTGGTGCCACCGTGAGTTTATTGCCCTTGGAGCGAAAGCTGCTCAGTGGAAAATTCATCGTTGGATCGTGTAATCGTCGCGAAAAAGATCGGCGATTGAATTTAGACGTTGAAAGCCACTTGGAAACCTATCTCGTAATAGGGGACGTTCCTTACGTTCAAGGCAACGTTTCTTCGCATTGCGTCAAAATCTTTGCGGTCTTGTAAAATGAAACGTTCGCATAAATGACAAATCAACGCTAGGACTCTATTAAAAGAGATGATTACTTCCGTAGGCTTGTAAGGAAAATGTTTTACACTTTGCCAAATCCACGCCTATTAGACGGGAGAGGGGACCTCGCAGAAGAAAATGCATAAAGCGTTCGATGGTTACGTCGACTCCTTTGCATCGCGCTCCGCCAATAGACGCAGTTATCGTAAGTTGACTCGCCCGTACGACCGAGTTCTACCACAGTATAACTAGTAGACCCACTCGGTCATTTGTTTCGCGCCGATCCTTTCTGTGCATCCGCCATTATTTTGGTGTGGCCAATGAGACGGATGTTGTGTATGCGGTAGTGTGACAGTGTGAAAGGATTTCGCGCACCAAAGTAATGGCAAAATACCGAAATGATCGAAAACCATCAAAGGTCCGACAGAGAGTGGGCATACTTGTTACACTATGATTCTACGGCCCGATATATCCACAATGTAACACGTTTTGCAGTCCGCTAAAACCGCGTCGCCGTCTAAAGTCTCGGAGGAGTCGAAGGAGAACTGGAATGGCGGGACCGCTCTGCCTCTCTGCTCGCCAGTAACGAATGCGGATTCGCGTGGTTCGATGATACCGCCGGTACATGACTTGAAATCTTCCATACCCAGTGTATCCTCGCTGACGTGTCTAATGCCACCGGTATCCTTAGGATTGCAGTCAGATCTCACGTGCTTGCTCGATGATGAAGGAAGCAAGAGCAACGGTAGCCGTGCAATTGCATACGCCTGTAGTAGTCGAACTAACTTCGCAAATTGTACATTTTTACCTCTCTGGTTTTTTTTGTTCTTTCTTGCAGATACCACACTACCATCGTCGTTACACTACTCCTCCTTGTACACACATGCCGAATCGTCTGCAGACTACTACAGTTTGATGCACTCAATGTCAATATACAACGTCCGTACCGCGTACAACTCGTCCGACAAATACTTCCCGAACGGAGGAAGGTACTCGCTAATCGATAACAATGAAAACCGCAGTGATCTCCCAAAAGATCAATATGCTATTGAAACAGACCCAACAAAATATGAAACAACTGCTGGATATCCCAGTACGAAATACAGTATACCAGCAAGTATGTACAATATAAATCCTCATCATCCATCCGATACGAACGGCAATCTTAGTGACAAATATGATTCCGAGGACGTCGACAGTCGTTATCACGAGGTTGAATACATGGAGGTGGGTAGCGAGGAGATAGTAGAATCTTGCGATGTAGAGAACATGGTTGCTCAAGTTCAGGAGGACTGGGAGGCGTTCGATCCTTACGTCTTCATCAAGCACTTGCCGCCCCTCACGCCGGCGATGAGAGCGAGATGCCCGGCCCTACCACTCAAAACACGGAGCAGCCCGGAATTCAGTCTGGTCCTGGACTTGGTACGCTCGATTGACATGCACATACGCGTACACATAGGCGTCCTAACACGTAATTCTCAGAGATTCTATCATCTACAGGGACAATATGATATTTTACATTATGTTGTGCCATGTAGATGATAGAATTATGGCATTTGTACCGTCATAGGAGCGAGTTGACAGCCACGTTTATCTGTGACTCTTTCGCAGGATGAAACATTGGTTCACTGCAGCTTGCAAGAGCTATCCGACGCGGCATTCCGCTTCCCGGTAGTCTTTCAAGACGTGACGTACACGGTATTCGTTAGAACGCGACCGTACTTCCGCGAATTCCTCGAACACGTCTCGTCGCTCTACGAGGTGATCCTATTCACGGCGAGTAAACGAGTGTACGCCAACAAGCTAATGAATCTGCTGGATCCAACACGGAAGCTGATAAAGTACCGCCTGTTCAGGGAACACTGCGTCTGCGTTAATGGGAATTACATAAAGGATTTGTCCATCTTAGGCAGAGATCTATCTAAAACCGTAATTATCGACAACAGTCCACAAGCATTTGGATATCAGGTAACTTGGTAGCTCGTCATTTGTACGGTATATATCTGACACAATCAGGAATGTACTTGGGAAATCACGTGTGTTTTGTTACAGTTAGAAAATGGTATACCTATAGAAAGTTGGTTTGCCGACCGTTCAGATAACGAGCTAATGAAGTTGTTACCATTTTTGGAAAATCTGGTAAACTGGGTAAGCACCTGTTACTCTATACACTGACTATTCTAAAGAATACAGCTACTTGTTAATTTTTTTAATTATTTTTATCGCAGGGAGGTGACGTGAGGCCGCGCATTAGAGAACAGTTCCGACTATTCAGCTTTCTACCGCCGGATTAATTTAAATAGCGTACACAAAATTGAAGGTTGCCGAAGCATCTCGCGCAACCGACAAAAAGAAAGAAAATACAAAATATCTTAAAGATACTACATAGATAAATAATAGTTATTCCGCGATGCGTAGCATAAGTCGCTATATAATATAACATTTACAATGTTTCACAAATGAATATGCCTGTTGGTATATAGAGATGAAAAATGAAATACATCTAGATCTTTGGAATTACTGTTTTGATCCATTGTTCGCGAAAAGAAGTATCTGTGAGCGAAGACGTTGCATACACATGTGCGATTTTGTTAGAACCGTTCGTTTGGACTTGAAGTTTCAAGTTGGAAAAAAAAATCAAAGGTCAAAAATGTCTGATCATAATAGTCTTGTGATTTACCGTATAGTTTCTATTAATACTTCCAAGCGAATACCAAGTCTCTCCATGACGTGATGATTATATGACCTGTGTATATAATAGACTCGTATCTTACGTACAAAATATTTTTTTTCTTCATCTCGCTAACAAGTGACATGTACGCGATCTCAGTTTGTTTATCTCATTATACTAAGTTTTAAATATTTTTTGAAATTTTATTTAAAATATTTTTCTATTTTTGCGAACTCCGCTGATATTACATTCTGTCATATTTTAATTATGAATCACTACGTAATAATTTTTTTAATTTCTACATCAAGATTGCAATTCTTGAAAGTTCTTGAAAAGATTATGTGTATATATAATTATATATATAAATAAAATTATATATATACATATATACATATACGAAGATGTTAAGAATATCTGTTAATAATTATATAATTATACGCGTGTCATATAATTATATAGTTATACGTGATTACATGTGCTACATTATAAATCTGTGTATAATTCATAGTATAAGGAGCATAGACCGAATGCAGTATCAAAAGGAACAGAGTTAGCAACATAATGTAACAGAAGGCATCGCAGAAATCTTACATCCCGTAGTGTTTATCATAGTTTAAGATTATACTCACATTATGCACAAACACAATTATAATAATAAAGCAAATCGATTGTTACTCGTGAAATTATTTGGACCACGTGCTAATCACCCTGGAACGTTTGCTTTCCGCGTCGCGATTATAAAGCGCTTTTTATTCTCCGTGTTACGACACATCAGCTTGTAATGTTATAGGAAATTGAATGAGAGACATAGCATCAAACACAATGAGATGAGCGGTGTGACACGAGTAGACAGATTGTTTTTTTATTTGCGTTTCAACGGTGCGACTGAAACGCTGGAGACAAGAAATATTAACATAGGCTCAAAAAAAAATTGTATTCAAGTTTTACATGCAGCTATTACAGCATATACACACGATGTATACATCGCACAAGTTGCCTCTCTCTCTCTCTCTCGTACTTGCATGCAATGAACATAAAAATGGAGAGAATGGTGTATTGACTAGAAAATTGCTTCTCCCTGATCTACATTACTGTACAACATCGATGACATAGTCTAACGGCGCGCTTAACGATATACATTACACTATTAATTACATACTTGAATAAAATAATTATAAATATATAAAAACGATTATAAATATCCGTGAACATTGATATGACAGTCGGCGGTGACATTTGATGAGAACGAGAGATTTTTACACCTAATCGACAAGCTTCCGAGAACCGCGCCCCGATTATGCCTCGGCACGTTTTTACTGCCCGACATTGGGATATCGCGTTTGAATTTAGTTTAGACAAAGGTGTTTTCGTTTAATTCGATATCCTCGGCACGGTTGGATCATTGGCTTAATTCTTGAACTCCAGCGTTTCATTAGTCTCACTGTCTATAGCTCGGGAAGAAAAAAAGCTGAAAAACGTTATGTACAGCATTACGCATTTAAAAGACACTGTATCATGGAATGATCAACTTTAATATATATATATCTCATGTTTATAACAACAGTCTATTTAAGTGGTACTACATGTCATGCTTCAACGTTACTCGCACTTCAGATATATCCATCCTGCGGCGAGGGAAAACGAGACACAACTGCCCTTATCGACAACGAGATTGTCGTCGAGCCGTTTATTGGATGTTGCAAAGATTTTCCCTTATACGGTTGTCCTTAGTCGCGTCGGTGGCAAAGCACAGGAACTTCAATTCATGATGAACGTAATCGGTGTACCGCAGCTCGATGTATCTGAAGTCCGAGTAGAGTTCTATCTAATCCCCCGTACGCTGGAAATACCTAATCTCGATGCGTTTACAGAGATTCAGGAGCTTCGGATGGCCCTGCACGATCATAGCCAGCTTGTTGTCGAGCAGCGGCGTCGTGATTATCGTGAATATGTGACCAAAGACCAGGGCGTCCAGCTCGTTGGGTTTGCTACAAAAATCATGCGAGAGGAATCACGTCAATGTCACGTCTCGCGACACGTTGATTTTCGTAAGATCGTTCCATATTTACTTATAAGCTAGACGTATCTCGTTAATTTAGCGACAATGTAAAGGAATGCTCGGAAAGGGGAGGGAGCGACTCGGGCTGCGATTCAAAGCCGTCCCACAGTGTGTCCCTGGAGGACGACTCGATTATCTCAAACTCCTCCGCAATCTCGTTTCGCGCTCCGGAACTGAAGTAGCGGCGCTCGATTCTGAACGTGTGCTCGATAAGCTTGGGAAACTGACGGATCGTCACGGCGACCTCTCGATTGGAGGGGAAGGAGGGTGACGTGAGAGTGCGAACGTGACCATACACCAGGGCGTCGACCTCGGTGGGGCTTATGGAACAGGATTGCAACTTACAAGCGTCAACAAGTAAAGATCAGCCAAGAGAACTGCGAGAACTACTCACTCTTTCCCAAAGAAAAATTCTTCGTCCGCCAGCCTCTCGGATAGCGCTATGCAGCACTTCTTCACGTCGTCGAAGACCTCGTCCAGGCTCTTGTTGTACCAGCCGAGCACGCTCAGCCTCTTTATCACCTCCCGTCTCTTCTGCCAGTTCAAGTAATGATTGAGCGGCCAGGGGTACACGCTTCCGTGCCTCTGCTTCGTCACCCCGTCCAGTATCGTCGGATCCACCCAGCAGATGTACAGCTCCGCGTTGACGAACACGTTGTTAACGAGAGACTGGTACGCCCTCATGTCCACCTTGCCGGCGGGGTCCAGGTGGTCGGACAGGCTTGTCCCTTTGCTCCCTATGTGCGCGACTATGCCGTCAAACTCGGATATCAGCTTCGTGCCGCACTTGATGAAGGGCACGCGGCCGGACGGCGACATGAACTCGGCGTTCTTCCGCGGCTCTATCTGAAAGTCCAGCTGGCACATCTTGAGGAAGGCCTGCACCGCCAGGCAGTTGGCGTTGTCGGGCAGCAGAATCTGCTCCACCTCGTACGGCTGGTACAGGGTGATCGGCTGCGGCCATGGCTCCTGAGCTGCGGGCCAAGAGAATCACAAGCGTTAGCGCGTCGCGCAAGGTTCGCGACTAGGGCTAGTTCTCTCTCTCTCTTGGGACTAGTGGCCCTTAACGTAACACTTACATAATCGCGCACTCGCGCGAGAGACCGACGAGCGAGAAGCTACGACGCGAGGGGGAAAAAGAGAGGAGGCGAACGACGCGGGGGAGACCGACGGACCGACCTTACCGAGGAGTCAGCGGCTGGTACCCGCGACTACTTGCGAATCTCGCGTCGCGGCGAGGCCACGCGCGGTTTTGTTTACGGTGACGCGAGGTTAGGACCCCATCGCGCGGGGCCCGCGGGGGTCTCGCGGGAACGGCGATTCGGACGGCGCGACTTCCAGACGTTACCTTCCAGCTCCACCGCGATCGAGTCGCCCAGCAGTACGTGCGGCATGGCCTGCGACGAGCGTGTACAGACGACGGCGACGACGACGACGCTGCCTCGAGATCCGCGGCGATCGCTCGCGTGAAAAAGCGCCACGGGCGAGCAGCGAGGGACGAGGCACGCGGCGTCTTTTCGCTCACGAGATCCCGCGTACAATATTAACTTAACGCGCGAGATAAACTTGACAGAAGTAAACCGAATGCGGGGGGGAATGCGATTGTAGTTGGATTAATTCGGTCGGTGATTAGCTTAATGATACTCGTTATTGCGTGAACGGAATCGTGTCACGCTTGTATGTTGGGGTCGTCTCGTGTAAGCCCAGATAGCACAACCCTCTAGTAGCACAGTGCATCGGCTAAGCATTGGTCCAATGTGTTAAGCCCGCTGCAGACGATGCTATTTTTTCTGCTGGATTGCTTGCAATCTAATAAATTACTATCGTTGCACCATTCAGCAATCAGGCTTCCTAGTAATTTAGTAAATCGCAAGCAATCCAGCGGGAAAAATAGCATCGTCTGCAGCGGGCTTTAGTTATATTAGATATGCATTGGCCGATATTGTCCATGGAACAAATGTAAATATTGCACGATAATAATTATATAATATTAGATTCATATTGGAAGTGCATTGGCCAATATTTAACAGTGTGATGAAAATATTGATACAATATTAAACCAACATTGCTAAAGACGTATCGGCTAAATGAGAGGAGTCCATCTTATAATATTGAATCAGCATTGGGGATACTAGATTTACATTATTGCGTCAATAATAGCACACATAGTTCTATGAACATTCTTCTGGAGTGCAATGTTCTTATGTGTCGCTATCTGGAAGGTTTTTTTTAGATTTTTCATATTTTGAAATAAAATAAAGAAATTGGTGAAAATTTTTCTCAGAATTTTTAACACTTTTTTCAATAATTTTATAATTTTTTACAAAAATTTTTACCGGGGCTGCTATTTAATCACCGGCGAAGAAAAGGATGATTAATTAGGTTTATTTTAACTTTAATCCAAAAAATATTTTCCATGTTTTATTCTTTGCAACTTGCCATCTTCACTGCATAAATTTTCAATTCCCCGGCGAGTCTTTCAGTTTTGAATCGAGGAATAAATCGAGCTCCCTTTCATACCGCGTTATTTACGGGATGACCCGATATGTACCAAGTTCGCTGCTCCGGTTGAATTAATTACTTAAGCATGATTCTGATTAATTTACTTGGCGACTAACTTGTCAAGCAATATCCATATTAATGTAATAACATAGACATTGTTATTAATGTTTTAATAAACGGGATCGTATTAGAGGCGACGGATTATGCAGTTTGCAATTCGATTAAACGGATTGCCAAATTAATTAATCGGAATTTAATCGAGGTCACTTTTACCGCACAAATCGAGGCACCGATCGAGATGACGCTTCCTCGCTTCTCCCGCGTCGACTCGGGATTCATCCTGAATCAATGACAAACGATGCGACTAAGATCTCCTCCCGGCAGTTATTTGTACATGAAATTATTACGTCGTGTCATGTATGTTATTTATCGAGGAGCAAGTAACCTTCGAGAACTTGAGGCCGGACAGGAACGTGTGCAGGACACGCGCGTGCAGTGACAAATCATCTTTCTTCCCGATATGTGAAAACTCACTCCGATAAGAGTGCATGGTTAGACGGGGAGCCAGTTTGCCCTTCCTGATAAGACTTGTAATTTTCCGCCGTGGCGTACATTCAGTCCAGGCCGGCGTTTTTCCGCGCTTGAAAGGCGAAATAGACGAGCGATCAGACGTATGTACGTACATTGGCGATGATGAGAGACGGGAGGGGGTTTAAACAAACAAAGGACAAACCTAAATCCTAATTTTCCAGGCGATATTTTTCAACTTTCGTTTCTTTTTTTTTATGCTTCGGAACTGAAACGCGTCTCCCAGCTTTCGTTACCACTGGTTAGCAACATCGTTCACCAACGTGGTCAATAAAAGTCATTTAATCTGCCAGATTAATTTCGCCGGCGGCTTTTAACGCGAGAGATTTGACGCGTCATTCCACTCGGCACGAGAGATTCGATTTAAAAAAGATCGCCACGAGGCACAAAGTGTACTTCGGCGAAGCTGAGGACAAACTGACACGCGCGATTCGGATATCGGGTCGTTCCATAAATGAAGGCGTTATTTTAACAGTGGCACAGCTCCGTTTCCATTAATTTCGAGGTGTTCGGCTTATTAAGCTAAATAGAGGGAGGAAATTCGCGGGAGTCGAAATATTCGAAGAAATTCGTGGAACTGGACGGACGTGCCGGTTTCAAAATAAAAAGACTACTCTTGCGCGACCCCGAGAGTGCAGTTAACTTCAGTTTCAACAAAAAGTCAAGTTGTACCGCTACTAAAATAGCGCCTTCAAATAATGCAGTATGAATTAAAGATAGCTCGATACATTTATTCCTCGGCTGAAAACCGGAAGACTTTTGTCACCCGCTGGAATCGAAAATTTAAGATTAAGGTGGAAAGGAGTTGACAATTATAATAATAGAAGATATATTCTGGATTAAAGTCAAAGTTTACCTCTACAAAGGTAAACTTCGGCGTTCAAATTGCGCCATGATTGGATAAAATTCAAATGTCCACGGTGGCCCGTTTCCGTGTGTCGTTTTGCAATGTCAGAAATCACGCGAAAGGGGGGGGGGGGAAATTGATCGTGTCAGTCCAAGTAATCCGGAGCAGCAATCGCACGTTGCAAATTGCGTACTCGGTTTGTCGCTGACGAACTCGAACGCGATGTCAAGATCGATCGCACAGTCGGAGCCTTCCGGGTGGCCCGAGGGGGCGGGAGGAGAAAAGGAGGGGGGGGGGCAGGAGTTCGCTCTGAACGTCGAAGCATATGTTTGTGATCGATCGCGATTAATTGCGGTGGACGATTGGCATGCGAGCGTGACGTTTGTCGCCTCGCCGCCGTCACACGATCCCATTGGCCGGCGAGGCCTCGCCGAAAATCGAATTAAATCCCATCGAGACGACAGTCGCCGATACTGGAACCCGACATCACGCTCGACTGAAAAAATTTTATGAGAGAGAGAGAGAGAGAGAGAGAGAGAGGTGGGAAAAGGAGGAAAGAAGATGGAAAAGTTGTCGATTTGGTTTCGCTTCATTATACAAACATTGGAAAGTTAGAGGAAGAAACCGAATCAGCATCGGATCGCGATTCCAAGAGAATGCAAATTCACGCGTGTTTCGACGACGGACCCGTCGTGCCTGCTCCTCCGGGACGCAGACTTTTACGATACATTAAATATTATTCACCTAGACACCAAGGCCCGTATTCTGAATCCTCTTTTATCGATAAAGCGCCTCTAAAAGTGGCTTGTAGCCAATCGGAAGGTTCATTATTCTGGCGAAAATATACGTTTATAAGAAGTTTGTTTAAATGTCGTTGAGTCGATGCTTTATTTGAGTTTTAAAACATTTATTGAATTGTTTGTGGGATATAAATTTACAGACGGAGTTGTTTACGACATGTTCACGGTTACAAGTGTTTCAAGTTGCGTTTAATGATACAATGTCAAACGTTGCCATTATATAGTTTTCTAAGTGTTTGTAAAATGTTATTGTCGGTAAAGAATTAACCAAGTGTTTGCAACGTACTTCCAAACTCTTCATAAACAATGTAACTATCGATAAAACTCTTCGCAAATAAATACAAACATCACCTCTCGCTTAAAATTTTCGCCAGGGTAGCCACTTTTTAAGGCGCTTTTATTTAAGTTTGCGATCCTCGCGACAGAATTGCCGATACTCGGAATATGCAGAACTCTGCAGGAAAGCATTTTAAGTCGTCCAAGGAATCGCTTCTCCCGTGGGTCAATTCTGTATCTTCGCAAGGAGAAGAAAAAGTTAGGATGATGTCAATTCGATGTCATATTGACCAAATTTGTGTCAAATGACCAAAATTTGACATAAATTTGGTCAATATGACATGAAATTGACATCGTCCTGACTTTTTCTTCTCCTTGGGTTACACTGTAGTGAAAACGCTAAAAGTGAGTAGCTCTATTTCTATCCGTCCCCTTAGAAAGAGACAAGGCTGCTCACTTTCAGCATTTTCACCATGTTGCAAGATACAGAGCTGACCCCATGAACTTTCCGACATCACTTAGGACACACCCTGTACAACTAAAATCCAATCTGTGTATTAAACGAGCAATCGAAAAAAGCGCGTTGAATCGAAAGATTGCCGGGTCGCGGCGAGTCGCCGACGGTGTCCTTCTTCTCCCTCATCCTCCTCCCGAACGACGTTTTCGCGTGTGTGCACGCGTACACGCACGCACGCGCGCGCGCGCGCGTAAACGCGCGATAGAGGAGCATCGCCGTTGCGCAAACGGCGCGCAACGTCGGCCAACCGGCGGGCCGCCAGTCTACCTAAGTCCATCGTTCGCGCCGTGCGGCGATCTTCCTGCGCTACGTTCAGAGCGTACATACAGACCCGTACTTGTTGCTTGCGGGCGCGCGACGCAGTTCGTGCGGGCACAGACAGAGACGGGGCAAGAGCGAGAAGGAGAGAGAGGGAGAGAGCGGCAGGGAGCGAGTGCGAGAAGGAGGGCGCGAAGAAGCAGCGGCCGGTCGGAGAAGAGAAGAGACGAGACGAGACGAGACGAGGCGAGAAGGGAAGAGAAGGGAAGGAAGCGGGAAAGAAAGGGAAGGCCACACGCACCGGCCACGCACGGCTCTCCACGCGACACCTCCGTGTCGCACGCGCGGACCACGCAAGCCGGGTGAGAGACAGAATGAGAAGGAGCCCCGCGAAATGCCGCGGCGGCGATTACGCCGCGCCGTCCGCCGTCGCCGCTCGCGATCGTCGCCGACGTACGTCGGCACGCGACGGCGGGGCCGCCGGGCAGCCTCGATCGAGCGACGACACGTATCCCCGGCGACCCCGCCGCGAGGGCTGCGAGCCCTGGCCTTCCTAACCTAAATTCTAAATTCTGTCAGTCGACGCTGTGCCGAACGGTACGTCGAGGAAGGGGAGGAGGTGAAGGAGGAGGAGGCGGAGGCGAAGGAGGACGACGACGAGGTATTCCGTGCACGCTGATCCCTCGCCTTCCCCTCTCTCTCTCTCTCTTTCTCTCCTCCTCCTCTTCGTCTCCCACCTCCGATTTTTTGACAGCTAAAAATACAGTTTTTGACGACGGCTACGCCGCGACGGTTCCGGCGCCGGCCGTAATTCTCGACTTTTCCGCGTTCGCGAAGGTCCCCCCCAAGGAAATCCTTCGCGCGCGCTCCGTCCTCTCTTTTTTTCTCTCCTCCACCCGCGAAAAAAAGAAAATAAAAAGAGAGGAGCGAGAAGGAACGGCGCCCCGGCGCCGTTTCGATCGAGGCGCAACCGCGGATCGAGATCTCGCGTCGATCCGCGTCTAGCTTCATTGTTTACCGATCGTGCGCGGCACGCGTGGCTGCGTGGCATTGCGTGGCCGCCGTGGGCCTCGCGTCGCGGACGCGTGGCATCGCGTACTCCCGCGATTATCGAGAGATTATCGGGAGGGGGGGAAAAAGGGCGCGAGCGAACACCGCATGCCGATGTCGAATCGCCCGCCGGACATGAATGAACGAACGCATACCGCGGGGCTCGGGTATCGGTTTCGCCTTCGCCGTTATCGAATCGCGACGCCCGCGGCTCGTGGGAACCGATAATCGAACGCGCGGCGTTCCGATGTTCCGATCTTCGCGAAACCGACAGCCTGCTCTTCCGCTGGAGCAAGTTTTTCGCGAAGCGCACTGGAGACAGAATTCTGCGGCTACGTCCGTCGTTTCAAATGCAGCGACCCGAACCGCCCCGAGGAGAAACGAAGATCAAGATGATGTCAATTTGATGTCATATTGACCATAACATGACGTAAATTCGGTCAATCTGACATCGAGTTGACATCTTGATTTTCATTTACGTCGTACTATGGTCGATATGGCACCAAATTGACGTCATCTCGACTTTTCATTTCTCCTTGGGTGTAGGCCTCAATTACGATTCCGTGCGCGGTTCTTCCTTTTGTACTAGAAATAATCTTCTACGCCAGCGAACGTGAAGACCGAACTTTTGTCAGGTTCCTCAAACTGTATGTGATGTTTTTTTTTACAGATAAAAAATTGGAGCATTTTGTATTCTACCCAGACAGTACGCAATATTTATGAAATATTTACAAGTCCTCGCAACATGACTTTTGCAAGGCGTACAGAATTATATATATATACATAATTTATTAGCTTCAGCTTGCAGCCAAGAAGCGGACTTGGTTTACAATATGTTCCTAACTCATTCATTCTTGCATACTTATTTCCGTCCTCCCTATTTTCATCCTCGCATGTTGTGACCAGTGTTTCTAATTGCTTTATCTACTCACTTAGTTTACTTGTATTTGAAGCCTAACAATTCTCAGCTCAGCTTTATTCTACGTTAAATTTTTAGCCCGTTTGTACTTACACTTGTATGGATCTTATATTCCTTATTTATACTTTATTTGTCTTACATTGATCTTATATTATTTACATTTCTTTCTCTTCTTTTTCTCTCCTTAAACTTCGCCACCTGCTTTCTCTTTCCATCCATAGCTTCCTTATAGTATTCCCTTTTGCCGTATCTAATCGCTCCATATCTTATTCGCAAGGCGTACAGAATTAAAAATGGCGCATGTGGTCCATCGCTGCACAACCGCATCCAATTATTCCCCTATTGGATTATTAAAGTAAGCCCACATATTCCCACAATGCTGATTGATACTTGGAAATTTCCGGTGTTTTCAGGTGCACTCGGGCTTTTCACCCGTTAATCGAGAATTCCAAGATAACGTCGGAGCGCACGCGAGGAGAGAAACGCTAAGCGCATAGATAAGCCGACGATTTTCTCGCGTTTTTCCTGCGGATTCAAGCGCCGCCCCCTCCTGATCGAGTCTCCCAAGATAACGTTGGAGTGCGCGCGAGGAGGAGAACAATTGCCGCAAATAAATCAGCTTATTTGTCACGCTGGATCGAGAGCAGCGGATCGGAGAGTCGAGTCCTCGCGCGTAGGACGACGGCGGCGACGCAGTCGACTTAGCAGGCCGTGCCGTTTTCGGATTGTTCCGACGGAACAAACGGCGACGTCGGGGTCGGTCCTTTTACAGAGGCACGCGCAGCGCCGAGTAAACGCCACGTCCGGACGCTCACGTGCGCGCGTGCATAAGCTTTATTTTAATCTCTTTCGCGCTCTTTTAATGCCCAACGGGCTCGGTCATCTCATGGAGAAGTTAATCGTTATTTTATATTTAGCCGGGTTCAGCTGCATAGTTTTATTGTGATGCGCGCACGAGAGAGCGTGCTTTTAATATAGATTAGAGATATGTATATACACATTTATACGCACATACGCACGCGCGCGAGCGCGCGCGACAGAAGAATGAGTCAGACCAGCGCGCATTGCATAAGATGTCGCGGGGCTGGATGGGACTATGATCTAGACTTAAACCGTAGATTACTTGTATCAATAAATGCGGCGCGCTGGACAGATATCTGAGGCTCGATTCTTGAATTCCTTCAAAGGAGAAACGTATACGAGAGTAATGCTCTTAGAGAAAAGTTGCAAGTTGATCGGGCTATTCGCGTGGTCTTTAACCAATCGACTTTTAACTTCTTTTTTTTATGAGAGTAGGAATTTCGCATGCGTTTCTCTCTCGAATGAATTGAAGAATCGAGCCCGTGTACGAAGCGGGCGGCGAATACGAGCGGCGTTCGCCCGACGAAATAGGCGGTGGCAGCCCGGGAGGAAAATTTTTTCCGAATGTTCTTGCGCGCTGTTCTTGTACACACTCCTTGTACTTTTCTTACTACCGTCCTTGTAATAATTTATTTTTATTGCACCAATTATTAATGCGAATCACCGAAACGTAACGAAAGCGAAGGTCAAACTATATTTTCTAAATAATTTGTTTTGAGCGCCGCCTTATAAACCTTGTCGTTTATAAAGACACGCTTTGTTGTACTTTGACGTTTGCTAAATGCTGTCGCAAGACCCGTCCAGCTCGCGATGAAGCTATCGCGGCTCCTGAGTACGTTCGTCATGTAAGTAGGCAAGTCACGCCGCACAAAACAGCTTGGAACTCCCTTCCGCGTAAATTATATATTATTTGTAAAATCGTACCTATTATTACAATATAGTTTACCGGTAATTAGGGCGAGAAAATAAACGGAGTTACGATAAGAACACCAGGAGATACCCTGTGAGGAACTAGAGAAAAACTAAAACGCCGTTATCGCTATTATTTGATTACTGTACTATCTGGTTATACTTGACATTATCATGGAACTTTACAGATAATTGCTTCCTGCGCTACGTTATGCGATTGGCAAATATATAAAATTAGTTCTCCAGCGAGCGCATGCAGTTGACGGTTCGCGCGTGTTTCGACTCTTCGGCACATGCGGGATTGGTAGCCGAGATGTTGCTCGTGGTGTACATACTGATGAGTGCGTGCTCTGCTTTCAGGAGACTCGTCATGTCGCATCACATCGTTACCGTATGCGTGGTGTGCGTGCTGTGCGCCGCGCACGTACCCTGCTCGGCGCACACGAATCTGACGACACCGGACAACTCTGCAACGAACGGCAAAAGTCACGCGGGTCCAGACACGCGGGGACAACCGTTGTGGTCGCCGCCGCCGCCGTCGCCGCCGCCGATAAGACCTAGAGATGTGCAGTCGTACTCGAGGAACCAACAGAGATACAATCCGAGTAACTTGACTAGCAATAAGCACGACGCTGTAAGATCTCATATTGCGCGACACATTGATAGTAACAATAATAGTGTCTCGGTAACCGCTGATGCGATATCGACCGCGCCACGTAAGAAGGAGATGACGGAGAGCTTCAAGGGCGGTGGAAGCCTGCAGGACACGCGACCGTCAGTCGGGAGCGCGGATGTGCCCTCGGTGAACTCGAGGGATGCGGAGCTTCTGGAGCGTCTTTCTCAAACGGAGTTGCCAGGTGCCGAGCAACGGTCCACGCGATCTGGCAAAGACTTGCGTACTGTTAATAGGTCTAGAGTAAAAAGGGACGTGAACGAGAGGTACTTCATGCAGAAGATCTTCGAGGCCTACGGTGATGGAACGAGTATAACAATGGAAGGTTTTGAGAAACTTATACGAAAACTGGGTCTACTGAGATTATTGACGGACGAATCGAAGGTGGATGACACCGACAAGGGTATGTACAGAATTAAATCGTCGATATAGAGAACTGATGAACTTATTGATGAATTTCACTGTGTTACAGCCGGTAGAAATTTCCCAAAAGGCCTACTTAACGCGGATAATAACAAAGAAAGGGTAAGATAAATACGTAAGGCGCACTGTTCATCAAAACAATATGTAATTCACGAATATGAAATCTTGCATTGAAACAGCTGTACTGTTTATAACGCCGATACTCTTATTCCAGTGCTTAAACAGCCTAGAGTTGCTGGGCACTGTGGCCCAAGACATGCACTACGCAAACAGCACTAATGCAACGACGTTGCCCAGTTGGCTTTTCGAACGCGTGTGTCCGGTTCTCGTGTACCAATTAACGGCCGAATCCAGCTCGGAGAGGAACGGCTGTATACGAGTACCCGAGAATTACAAGCCTGTCGTGCCAGTCGATAAGTTTTATACTACGGAGGATTCGGCGCGCAATAGCGTAAAAGGTATATTATACCAGCAGAACGCAATGATGAATCTTGCCCAGGAGGGGGGAACTGCTGACAAAAATTTTGTACACCAATGCCCACTAATGCCCAGTGGGCATTGCTTTATCTTATTATCTTATTTTATCTTTATTGCCCCAGCAAGACCTAGTGCCCAAAAAATGCCTAACAATGCCCAGTAATGTCGCAAATCTGTACACCACAATGCCCTCGGCGGTTTTCCCCTCTCAGATCTTGCCTCAAGAGTCAGGCATCGTTGATGAAGGACGACGAAAACAATTTATCACTTTTATTTATTTCAGTCTGGGTATATTCAATAGTTAGTATTTTCGTAATTAGTCTTAGCGGGCTGCTCGGCGTAGTAGTAATTCCGATCATGGGAAAGAATTATTACCATCACGTGCTACAGTTTCTAGTTGCGCTGGCCGTAGGTACTTTAACCGGTGATGCCTTTATCCATCTATTACCACACGTAAGTTTTTTTGTTTTTACTTTATCAAGATATTACATGCGCCCGTAGCAGAACAACGGTTTAATATCGCAATGATTTCTCTCTCGCGTCTTTAGGCGATGATGCCTCAGCATGAACACGACGAACATCAGGAACATGGACATCATCACGACGAGAACGGGTCGTCGATTGATCATATGACTCTGCATAGCATGAACATGTGGAAAGGACTAGTCGCTATGATGGGCTTCGTAACGTTCTTCTTCACTGAGAAAGCGTTAAATGTGATATCCGAATGGCGGAAGCACTGGCAGCATAAGAAAAAGGTAAATAAAGGAGGAAGCTTCGTTGTAAACGCGTTATCCTCCTACACGGTTGTATAAACCAGTAAAAATTGTTAGTTGCCTACGCGCGTGAGAGTGATGAGGGAGAGTAATGATGGGCCAAACAGCCATGTCGTTGGTGAAAAGCTGTGCAAACACAAATACTCTTCGTACCCGTATTGTTACGGCGAGATCGCCAGCGAAACTCAAGGTAACAGATGTTCTTTGTGTGAAGTACGTATTAAATTTCGAGATTACCACTGCGTCTTGATCAAAATAGAGCAGCTCATCGCGTCAACGTACGCGCCCCAGTAAATTGAAGAGTAAAAATAATCAGTGTTGGAAATATATGTATAGATAATCATCACAAACGCCGAGTGAACCATCACGAGAGACCACCTATCATCGAGGAGGAGAAACCATTAACATCCAACTGCAATTCCGTCACAAAGATCGTGACCAACGACATGGAGAAAAAGCCAAAGGACGAATGGAGAATGGACGATCCAATTGTGAACGCTAAGAAAAGTACCGACGGTGCCGATGTGTCGCTAAACGAATCAGAGAGCTACACTGTCATCCTACGCGAACACGAGACCAAACATCATGGCCATAGTCATTCCCATGGTACGTTTTAAATAAGATATAAATATACTGTAATCTTACGCAGTGTGCATGTTATACAACAGTGTAAACGTTTCGATTCCAGGTCACGTACACTCCGCTCCTGAATCGATGTCCAATGTGGCTTGGATGGTCGTGATGGGTGATGGTTTGCACAATTTTACGGACGGTATGGCTATCGGGGCGGCTTTTTCAGCGAACATCGCAGGCGGATTCTCCACGGCTATCGCTGTCCTCTGCCACGAGTTACCTCACGAACTCGGTATTGTCTCCCCGATCAATAATAGTATACCTGTAAACATGCATGCACAGTTAATAATGTGAGCGTTTTTGTACAGGTGACTTTGCGGTACTGCTAAAAGCTGGCATGAGCATCAAACAGGCTGTTTTTTACAATTTATTATCTTCACTTCTCTGTCTGGCCGGCATGATAGGTGGAGTTTTGTTAGGAAATACTCCCGATGCCACCAGCTGGATATTCGCAGTTGCCGCTGGAATATTTATATATATAGCATTAGTAGACATGGTGGGTATATCTATCGTAACTCCAGAAGTATGAATGAAACGCTAATTACCTCGTTTCTCCTTAGGTACCAGAATTGTCGTCGAGTCATTCCGCGGAGAGTGGTTCACGATTACAGTGCATTTGGCAAACTTTAGGTTTATCTACAGGCCTCGGAATTATGCTACTTATCGCCGCCTACGAGCACGATCTTAAACATATTTTCGATAAATAGATTTATAAATAACTGCTCTTGTATTGATGTTACAAAACAAAACCGCTTCCTATTACGTTCCAATTGTGGCATCTTTTTTTCTATTTAATCTCGATCCCTAACAGTCCTTTAGCACTTATTATTGCAGTGAGAACAAGTCTTTCTCTTTCTTTCTCTCTCCCTTCCCCCCCTCTCTCTCTCTCTCTCTAAAACAATCATTTTGTTTTGTATATTTGGGAAAAGAAAGAACGTAATAGGAAGACTACACAAGTTAGATCGCAATTTAGACAAAGGGGACAATATCCGAACTAGGATTGATGGTAAAAATACTTCAGAGGAGTGAAAATGTTGAATTCCGAAAAAATAGGATTTCTATTAGACAGAGTATCAATAATCGAATTGTCAAACAATCGAATCACCGCCATTAATTATTTCCAAACTAATTGTATGAAAGATATTTCTACATTTTTTCTAAGATTACTTGGAGATACTCGTATCGAGTGAACAAAATTAATTTTCTTTGTCATAGTAATGAATGATTTACCTATGTAAATAATCGTCAACGACTGAATGATCTTGAAAAAATTAGCAAATTTTTCTTCACAGTAATCGCATGTCAACGACATTAGTTATTACATTAATTCACGTTCATTACTATTAAATGTACGATATTGATGGAGTATCGTGTACAGTATTGTTTCACGAATGAAAGATTAATTTTGTATTAAACTATGTAGTCCACACACAGATTGATGATGGCGGTTAATATTTCTAATTATCAACTGGCTGGAATAATGGTACAAGAGTATATCTAAGTATTGTTAGTTTGCAGCAAATTTGTGATAATTTTGCAAACAGTTACTTACGAATCAATGTACATTTCATTATAGATATACAATTGTATTATCACAAGATTCTTAATGTTGTAATATTTCTCGCAATTTAAATAGATCATGTAAGAATGGGAGTTGGTATTTTAACTCTTGTTATATTTTTTTTACAAGAGAGAAAAGTGGGCTACACGATCTGAAAAACAGATTTGCCCGACGAATCAACATGGCTTAGGTGAGATATCATACATGACAATATGTGAAACTTGTATTTATGTTTATAACACACGAGTGTTTATTTTCGCCAAATATTAATAATAACGATAATATTAATAATTATAATGATAACGATAATGATAGTAATAATTTTAGGATTTTATATACACCGTACTGTGAAAATACTAAGAACTTTAATTTTTCTCACGTTGCCACTTTTACTTCATGATCGTTGTGATGCATATGCATATTGGTATGCATTTAAATATAGCGAGAAATTGTAGCTATGTAAGGAAATTGTACGTTGCTATGATACATTGACTTTTCAAAAATTATTGCTATTCTGTCGAAAATTCAATTCCATCCATATGTCAATATGTACAAGTTCCTCTTTTAAGTATATATAATTAGCATTAATAACATATGTGTGTTTCTAATTGTGGCACTGAAATTTTATTTTTTTTTGCTCTCGCTAAATTCCAAACTATTTCACTTTAAGTACAGGGAATGTACGCTAATTTCGCTCTAAAAGAACATTTTGTACAACTAATAATGCATACGTGCAATTTTAGTTATTTTTATAGAAAATGTAAAGAGCGTTATGTTCTTGTAAAATTAATTTTGTTCACGCTCAACTGATTTAAACTACTGAAATACAAATAAGTTGTATTCTTTTGATAAGAAAATGGAACCGTCATATGGGTGATTTTGTTAATTGGTATTCAAATTTGACATTTTCTCGAGTATCCAGATATTAATATCTTAAAATTTTGGATATTCGAATAGTTTTGGAATAGAAAGAGCATCTCGTGTGGCAAGAATGATTAAAAAAACAACCCACCCATAAAAAATAGAAAGTTTGTGGCTTTTTAATTTAAATAAATATTAATAATAAAATAAAACAATCTTGTTTCCTGTATTCTTGAAATTGAAACACATTCTTCTAGCGTTGTTAACAAGGAGCATTAAACTACAAAAGATTCAATACTCGTTTCAAAGAAAATTGTACAAAAGAGGTTAAACAACAAGATTTGGTGACTTAATAATCTTCGTATCGGGTCTATTTCCTTCAATTATATACAAATATATTAACATCAGTTTAAATAGTTCTATTACGTAAAGGTAAGTTTGCTGTACATGTACATTTAACACAAATACGCGCGCTCGCACTTCACAGCAGCTAAGAAAAACTGTGATTCTGATGGGAATACCGAAGAGTGCGCCGTGACTCTTTGTCGCAGCCACAACATGACGGCAAAAATATTCCACTTCGAAAATCATGTAAAAATATTTGGTCATACAGTAACGAAATCATCCCGATCACTCATCTGCGCCGACAAACTAAACGCCGTGTCCGTGCTGGTCTCACTGTTCAAGCTTTCATTTGCAAATGAAGGTTTCAAATTAGCGGAGTCGTTCATCTCCCTCATCAGCCCCGCCATATCGTCGTCGGGATCAATTTCTTGCGCCTCACCCACCACGTCAATCTCCATCGACTGATCGATCATCGATGTTTCTTGCTTTACGGGTTTCTCTTCTTCGAACTGCAGAGATGAATACAAATTACGGAACATTCATAATCGACTACAATTATCGGAGAAGCGCTACCGTACCTTCATAGGCTCTAGTTTGCACGGCGCCGGCAAGTTCATATGAAACACACAGTTAGAGTCGAAGATTACCGGCACTGGTTCGTGGCATTCGATGTCAGCTCTCACCGCTCCGCACGCTTTAAATAAAACTTGATGCTGATCCTGTGGACAGACAATCGTAATAAGACCTCATAGATCCACATGTTAATTCTCTTTTCCTATACAGAAAAATAATACGTGTACCTTCAAGATATGTTTACGACAGTGCTTGGCCGACGGAAGCGTTCTTTCACCACATTTTACGCCACCTTCGGTGAATACGCATTTGGATACATTGGGTGGTTTTTGAATAGGCTCGGTTACCTGAAAAATAAATTTTTTTGTCATGCAACTGATACGTTTTATTCGAACGCTGATACAAATGGCATTCATGATGTTACCTGTGCGCGACGTTCTAGTGACTTTCTATAAAGTATCGCTTCGACACCACTCCGCCTGTGATAGCGATTTAAAGCTTTCAGTTTCTCGTAAAGCTTCTTCTCTTTTGCAGTTTCCCTTTTCTGGCTATGTATGCTACCTATATATCGAGTGTAATTTATTTATTGGGATGTGTGCAATTTATTGGGGAAAAAAATGCAAGTTACTTGAAGTAATTACTTACATAATGTTTCCTTTTCCTTCTTCAGCGCGAGCAAATATTTTCGTCTCTTCTCCTTCAGCACATACTGAAGTCTTCTAAATTGATCGATGTAAAGAGACTGAAGCTTGATGAGTTTTTCTCTCGCGATGTAAATCACTTCTTCCGCCGTGAAGATGCCGGCATGCCTTAAAAAGTTAATACTAATAATTTGAGATGTAATTAGTATCTTGTCCTTGCGCAAAGCAACTACAAGAGAAGGAAGGTCTCGACACTAATAGTGAAAGTGTGCAGTCATAAAATAATAAAAGCAAAATGCAAAACATTCTGTTGCACGAGGTGTATGTATATTCTTAGGGTTTGTATGATTTGTGAAAGCCGAAAAAGAAAGAAATTGTTAGTGTCATTGTACATTTGTTAGAGAAACATTTAATTAAAAATCACAGCAACCGCTGAAAAGTTTGCAGCATAGACAAATAAATTCCAATATTAGATATACGTAATAAAAATGAACACCAGTATTTTTTTCAAGTAGAGTTGCACAAGCTGAAGCATGCTAGCGGATTCTAATGTAGTAGCATAATTCCCAAAATAATTAACATGCGTACACAATGGTATTATGGAGCGCACTTACTTCAGAGGATCCTCTTGCGGGCTGTGTAAACTCTCATTATCGCTATCGTCGAGATAAACTCCCCTCAGGGTGTCAGTCACAACTGTAGGTTCAACGTCACTCTCTGACGAACTGGCGTAATCTAAGATGTCACTTCCACTCGCATTCACTCTGTAAGCATCAACTTCGGCTGAAAATAATAACTTGATGTTTCCATTTGCTGTAACTTTCGTCAACATGCAATATTATAAGGTAAAAACGTAGACTCCAAAATTTTGTATCAAGTTTACATTAAGTATTTTTGTGGGAGTGCTTTGTTAACAAAAGGTAAAAGTGGTCTATGATGAAATATTTATAGAAAAGAACGTGAGCACCATGTTATATTTGGCGATACTCACTGAAAGGATCTAAAGCTTTCACTTTTCCTCTGTCTTCCTCCGCATCTTCAGCGCTAGAATCGGGCTTGACGTAGTGACTTAGATGAAGTAACAGCATCTCTGGCGTTTCCGGCAGAGAACGCCGCGACGTCGACTTGATCCGAGCGGTTTGCGCTTTCCTAGAATGTTCACCGCAGTATCTGCAAGAGATAAATGCATTGATTTATCTGAAAGAAAGAGTTCCACAATCTTATTGGACACGAGAAGATACTTACGAGACGTCTCTTCTGTCCAATTTTGGGGCTGCATTCTGACATTTTCTCCCATTGGTATTGTATACAAAAGCACACTGTTTGTAAGGCGCGCTAGGATCCTCCAGGATGTGCTTAATGCAGTACGAGTATCCGTCTAGACAGGATTGCGTACATTCGTAGGACGCATAGAGGCAACTCTGGGCTTGCTTGAGGCGTTTTGTAACTGTTGTTGCGGTGGACATGGGCATCGTAGGCTTTGGTATCCGAAACATGCCTTGCGTCTAGTAAAAGAGAAAGTCGATGAAGAATAAGATCTGATTCAAGAAAGTAGGTATAAAAGTACCTTTGTATTCAAGTGTTTTCATGAAGAATGTAAAATACACGATTAAATTGATCACGTCAACGCGCGAACTGTACTACTTACAACTTATATACTTTGTACATATGTATTATTTTATTTTACTATATTAAAGAATGCCGTTATTACTTGGATTACTTCAGGGGACCTTTCCTTGGCACAAGCAAAAAATAACTTACTGCGCAGCGAAATAATGTTTGGACGACGTCGTACGATAGCTGAACGACGACGATCTTCGTCCTAATGACGAAGGGACGTTCGCGTCGATTCTTTACGTCCGAGCAGTTGTATGTACGTGTAACGAAAAAGCACGGAGAGGTTAAAGCGAGGAACTATGGACGACGTAGAAAGTATCTGGACAGAGCGTACGTACCTTTCGGACGCGGGGAATTTGCTCTGAAGGGTGAGAGGAATCGTCTATTGTCGCGGCCATCTTGGTGCCGGATATTTAGGCCGGTATTCATTACAAATGACAGTTCTTCAAACCAAGTTAAGATTAGTTAATCTAATCTCGACGCAATGTAGTGCACTGACGCTCATACTTGGATACCAGGTTCTTTTGACGCTAGCGTCTGTTGACGCTGAAAAATCTAGCGTCATAGCGTCAGGTGAAAATGCACCCTTTCATTGAATAAAATTTCAATGAGATGCTACGAAATTTCAGATTTGACCAATCATAGCACGGATCATTTTGATCCGGATCATTTTGATCTACGTCGCGAAAACACCCCAGATATCCCATGGATATCCGTTTCGTGTCCATTTCATGTCGGAATATCCGTGGACTTTATAAAACATCCATAAAGCCTAGTGCAGACTGCACGCAGCAAACGGCAAGCGTCGAGCAGCAGCCAATCAACGAAGAGATCTTTCGGAAGCGTCAGCAGTGGCGTAGAAAATATCTCTTCGTTGATTGGCTGCTGCTCGACGCTTGCTGCTTGCTGCGTGCAGTCTGCACTAGGCTTTACGGCGGAAATGCCGTTACAGTAGCTCGTTCTGTGCGGTGGCTCACGCCGGACGGTCTACGGGCACGCCGTTAAAGCGCGCTTACGCGACGCGGCCGCGCTGGCCTCCGGAGGCGAGGCGACGAAACGTCGGAGAGGAGGTACACGTTCGCGGGGGACGTGAATTCCTTCAAGGAAGAGCCAGGTGAAGGTGGTCGACGTGATACGACGATACGGTGCGGTTCGCCACGCGTGTTACGCAACGTGTGACGCGACCGTTGCACCGTCGGTCGTCTTAGCGTCGTTTAACGGCTAATCGTCGCGACGGAGAGAGATCTCCGGGGGACGCCCGTCCGTCCGCCCGCCCGCCCGTCCGTCCGTCCGGTCGACCGCGATGACGATGCATCGGCCCCGCGAGATGCCGCGGAGGTTATGACCGCGTGTTCTCGTGGTCGATCGTCCCGTGTAGGAACGCACGAACAATAATCGAGAGACGCACGAAGCTCCCTCATACATGCTCGTTCGGCGACGGTGCCCGGCCGACGTCAACGGAACGTCGCGACCCGACGCTGCGGTTACGCGCGTCCCGCGAGCGTGGTGGCTGGAGAGCGACTCGACCAGGGTGGTGCGGCGGGTAATCACGACCGCTGTGGTTATTCCAGGTACGTCGTTCCAGCGTGACAGTCGCGCGATCAGCAGTGGTGAAGCGGCGAGGAGGAGAAGGAAGCAGCTCGGCGCTCCCTTCGCGCTCCTCGGCGCGCGGGCCGCCTCCGCGGGACCACCGCGGGAGCCCTTTGTCCCCGCGGCGTCCGCGACATCGCATCTCGTCGCATCGCGTTGCGTCATTCGCCCTCGCGGCGCCATTTTCGATCATTCGAGATCGAGCAGCGTGACGCTAGCCGCCGAGAGCGAGAGCGGCGACGGTAGGACGTGACTCCAGCGAGCGCGCGCGTCAAGCGCCGCGCACCCCGTCCCTCCGCTTCCGCCCGACGTCCTAGCCGTTCGCGCCACGCAACGTGCCTGTCAAGAGTGTGCATCGTTTACGGATCACGGGCGGATTGTATTTACATATAAATGGCGGCGGACGAAAGATGGTACTTCACGAGAGAGCAGCTTGCAAACACGCCGAGCAGAAGATCCGGCATCGACGCGGACAAGGAGCTGAGCTATCGGCAGCAAGCGGCCAATTTCATCCAGGACATGGGACAACGTCTCGTTGTGTATCCTTCTTATGCTCGCGCGTCACGCGCGACGTCTTTCGTCGGTCTTATCCATGCTTTTAGAACGCTCCCCTCTGCTCCTCTCCCTCTGTATTTTTAGGTTTCTGCCGCTCTACCCGTCTCTGTCTAACCTCGGCGGGCCAACTCAGCGGCAGGTGTCACGGTACCGCGCGCGCGGAGGTTTATCCCATGGTGGACATGCACCAGCGGCTGGACATGATTGACACAGTCCACCATTCCGCCCGGTACGTACCGGACGACGCGCGGAGAAACCAAAGAGCCGCCATGGTCCAGTCCCCTGCATAATACAGGTACCTGAACATTTTCGCATGCAGCAGAAAGAGCTGCATTGCTGTTGTAAAACTCTTGGACTTGATTGGTGTATGTTGTTTCAAGCTAGCGCTACACCGCGCGATTCCTGATTCGTTGAACATTTTTCTTATTACCTTTTGTTATTGTCACGCTATTCGTGATTCGTAATTTATTATTTGTCGTTTCGTTCGTGTTAACTTTGACAACTTTTAACCTTTACCTATCGTTACAGGACTTGCGTCGTAAACCTAACCTACAGTTCTTCTACTAGTTCAGTCAAGTTTCAATATTAGTCAAAGAACCATTATTTTCGTCAGAAAAGACCCCTCGGCTAGCGAGTCGCTGCAAATGGCGAATTGCGCACGGCGAGTCGACGAATTTTTCCTTCGCACATTCACGAATATGCGAATCGCGCATGGTGCGGCGCTAGCCTTAATCTTAAGTAAATCTAGAAGCGTACGCCAATCTGACACGTAAACTTTGAAGCAATTGCAAAACAGCTTTCTCCGCTAAATGCAGGATTTCGTATCAATTCCCGCAGCGTGAGCATGCTTCTCACGCTGGGGTGGCTACACCGATCGGGGGATGTGGGACTTGGAACGATACACGAGTGGCTCAAGATATTGATGCGCAGATATATGCGTGTGCAAGTGCTATAACACGGCACCCTAATCGGGCTTAATAACATCTGTAGTTACAAAACTGGCCAATCACAACTATTCCTCAGAAGAATGGAATGACTGTGGTTTGGCCAGCCCTTAACTACGGATGTTATTAAATCCGATTAAGCGCTCCGTGCAAAACAGCACTCTGTGACTACGTTTACACGCGACCCTTAATCGTGTTTAACAACATCTGTAGTCATAAAATTGGCCAATCACAACTAATCCTTAGAAGAATGGAGTGACTGTGATTGGTCAGCCCCTTAACTACAGTTGTTATCAAATCCGATTAGAGTGCCGTGTAAACATAGTCTGTGATACTTAAACCAGAGACCATCGAGTAACGGGACGTAGACGGGCGACGAAAGAGAATAGACAGAAGCCTATATTCTTTTACCGATAAAAGCGCTCATAAAAGATACCTTCAGCTAATAAGAATCCTTTCTGACTAATTTTAGTAGCTAAACTTTTTAACGATAGAAGATTGATAATGTAGACCAAAAGGAGACGATGCAGTGTCGTCTTGAGCGGATTCTTATTACAGATCTCGTGTGCCTCTTGGCACGAGCGAGTTTCACCTGTTTGCTTGTCGAATGTATCGCACACAAAGTGCGGACAGACGTGAAAGCTCTATGCTAAACTTTGTGTTCTAGGCAACTAAATGAGAAGCGCTAATACTCCTATTTGTCTTTTGGGCACTGCGACAATGACAAATCTGCGTATAGAGGAAAGTCCTTTATTATGAGATAGGATTCTAATATGAGATAGGTTTTCAACGTCCTACTTCCATCGCAAACCTTTTCTCGCAACGATTACATGATCCAACAATCAGATTTCACCCCAAGTGCAATAAATTCATGGTGGAAACCAACGGATGATGCTTATTAATTTAGCAAAAACTCCGCTGTCTCATATCAGGAGCCTATGATAGGGGATTTTCCTCTATTAAACAGTTTAATGCAGCTATCTTTGTAGATTCTCAATATCAATTATCAGTGGAGTATATTTGAAGTCACCAGTGATGAATAAATAAGAACAGAACTTTTTTTTATCCAACTGGCAATATATTGCCAATTGGATCGACAAAAAATTCTGTTCTTAATATCAATTATGTATAGACGTGATATTATTTAGAAATGTGAAAAAAATTTAAATTGGGCACGCAATTTATTTGCGACTCTTGCAACCCGCAGAAATTTGATGTCTTGCTCCTTTATGTATACATGTACTCTACTTTTTTGTTATATTTTAGCTAGTAAATTTGTTATGGTATTAATCCTTTGGATTTATCTCCATAACACGAATAATGATGAAAATTTTATTAAATTTCAGTAATCTTCTCATTGAACTAAATTGTTAGAAGACGAAAAGTCTGCTAAGTTCGTTAAATCAACATTGTAAATATCCTAATAAAATAAATTATTTTATATGTAAAAACATACTTGTATTTTCTCTTTATGTTACAAATGGCTATTTTTTAAATCTAATTTTGTGAAAGCTTCGACTGATATGAATATTAATTGAGCTTGAGAAATTATTTTCTGCTATTTTTGTATCTGTGTTCTCTCCTTTAATTTAAAAAAAATCGAGAAAACTTTTTGTTTTATGTTGCCATCAATTGGTTTGGTCAAAAATCCTTCATAAAGTTTAGTCTACAGAGATAGTACTGCAAGTTTAGTCTACAGAGATAGTACTGCAAGCAAATCAACAGAGATTGGTATAGCAGATGGTTTTTTTCCCGCAATTCATAACCGATGATCCCTCTTCTCAGTATCACATCACGCCGCATATATCTATCGAATCACGTACAATATTTCAAAATTGCTGTCAAAAATATTGTGTATATTACGTTCGTAATTTTACACGGAAAAAAAAGTCTGTATAGTTAGTATTCAGTTCTCTACACTCAAAATTGAATATTTCAATTGAAAATATTCTGTTGAGTTTAGTATATTAATATTCAATCATTTATGGTATACGCAATATTGTAAGACTCCAAACTTTATGTAATGAATAAAGAAATTATAACCCTCGTCTTTATCACAATAATTTATTTTTAAAAAAGAGATTACAAACTCTGCACAACATGAATGAATGATGTGAAAGAAACAGAATTTACTTTCTAGTATATGAATTGGTAAGCGCAAAAACCACACAAGTTTCAAATAAATAAAGTTTTGAAGCTGACTATTGCATAAATGGACCTGCCAATCCTAGAAAAGTCCATATACGCAACAAAGTATGTTTAAAAAAAATTTCGGATTCCTGTGATTTTTCCACTCATTTGCACACATTTCATATACAAAGTGAATTTTCTGCTTCTCTCACATTGTGCAAAACTTGTAATAGCCCTTTTTTTTAATTAATGAAAAAGAAGAACATTTTACCCACCGATTTATAGAAAGTGAATCTTTTATTTTCTCACGTTACTTATATTCTGTCAAGTTTGCAATATCTCTTTTGTAAATTATTAAAATAGATGAGGATATCTCATAGATTTTTTATCCATTATATGAAGTTTGTAGAAGATAATGTTTGAAGCCATAGATAAAGATCATATTTTGAAGAATGTTTTCTTTTTGTTGCAGGGAATATAACATTAAGAATATTGATATGATTATTACATGTTTAATGTGATTATCCGTAGGACCGATATAATTGCAAGATATGTGTAACAATGTACTCCTTAATCCTGAATGTTCTTCCACCCCACACATGAGATTCCATGATTTTTATTATGTCAGGAAATTTCAGTGCGCGACTTTGGAAAAAGTTTTCCTTAATTAACAAAAATCAGATCGCAATTATGCATAAACACCGCCATTGTGTACATGCACCGGTTCTACGTGTTCCACTCGCTGGCACAGTTTCACAGGAATGCCATTGCAGTGGCTGCGCTCTTTCTAGCAGCAAAAGTGGAAGAACAACCGAGGAAGCTAGAACACGTTATCAAAATGGCATACATGTGTCTCCACAGAGAACAAGCCCCACCTGACAGTAGGTCTGAGGTAAGTTGTGTGTCTTAAGGCACAGATATCACTTTGCGTCTCTCTGTAGCTGACAACGTTATTAACAAGGTTGGGAAGACTCGTTACTTGTGACGGAGTTACATTTACAGTTACTTTCTTTTTGGCAACTCTAACTTCGTTACTTTTAATCCATCCGTAACTGTAACTTAACTTAGTTACATTAACAGTGACTTTATATATATTTTTTTTAAATCTCCACAGATCGCATTAGGCCTTGCGTGTAAACGCCTCTATTGACACTTCACAATTGAAACGCAGACTTGATATTTTTATGTTTATTGCAAGAAAGTAACTGCAAAGTGATGATTCGTTCCTTTTTGTGTAACTATCTGTAACGCGTTACTTTTCAGAATTGGTAACTGTAACTAATGAAATTGTTAGCGAAGAACCATAGTATGACTAGTACTACGGCTCTCTGCCGGTCCCTTTGCGGTCACGTTATTGTGCCATACAGGCAGGATTCAGTAAAAGTCAAAGCCACGTATACCACTAGTAGGTCCACTCCGTCATTTCTTTCGTTTTGATCCCTTCTGCGCATCCGACATTGCTCTGGGCAGACTAATGAAACACTTTTCATGAAAAGTGTTTCATTAGTCTGCCCAGAGCAATGTCGGATGCGCAGAAGGGATCAAAACGAAAGAAATGACGGAGTGGACCTACTAGTTACACTATGAAAAAAAAACTGTAACTAGATTACTTTTATAAAGTAACTTTCCCAACCCTGATTATTAACTTCAATTTGTACAAAATAAAAAAAAGCCATGTCTTTTCTTGATCTATTCTGCTACATAACGCCTGTTACTACTTGCAGCAATTTCTCGAACAAGCGCAAGATCTGGTCTTCAACGAGAACGTCCTCCTGCAGACGTTGGGATTCGATGTTGCCATTGACCATCCGCACACACACGTTGTTAGATGTTGTCAACTAGTAAAAGGTATAGATTAGGTTCCAACATATAGCGTTTACATTACATATTAGTTAGAATTGAAATACTCTATAAAAACGAGTTAGAATGGAATGTTTCTATTTCAGCAAGCAAGGATTTAGCCCAGACATCATACTTCATGGCATCTAACAGGTAGCTCTTCAATCACTTTTGTTTCATCAGTAAGGCCCAGTATCACAGTGGCTACTTAGTTTGACTAGTTGTTAAGTAGTGATGCCAACCACTGATACAAAATTCAGTAAGCTATTTACAAGGTTAGATTTTGACAAGTTGCATTTTCGCAAATGAGCTTAAAAAATGTATATATATCTACAGAGTGTAAACCTAACTAAAACCACCGGATATCCCTTTAATCACGGATTCTTTAGAAAATTCTAATACAAAAATGTCGAGGCTATGATAGTTTTTAAATAATAAGCGATTAGATTTCCACTTTCATCACTGGTCATGTCGCCGTGCCTGAGCGCGCGAAATCTCAGGCCTATCATTTGTGAAATATAATCGCTCATTATTTAAAAATTATTATAGCCTCGACATTTTTGTATTATAATTTTCATCTTGAAAATTTCTAAAGAATTTACGATTAAAAGGATATACGGTGGTTTAAGTACACCCTTTACATTGATATATTGATATATTTGTATATAGTATTTATAAAGACATGTATATAACCTTGTAAATAGCTTACCGAATTTTGTATCGGTGGTTGGCATCACTACTTAACATCCAGTTAAGCTGACTAGCCACTATGATACTGGGCCTAAGAGCCATCGCACACAAAATTGCATATGCTTAGCATAAAACCGTCTAGACCAATGAACGTGTTATGTAAATCAATAAGGCGGCTCGCTACTCATTGGTTTAAACGATTTTATGCTATGCATATGCAGCTACGCAATTTTGGTGCGATGGCCCCAACAATGTCCTTCACTTTTCCGCAAATGCACACAAGTGCGTGGGAAAAAATACTGTTGAATTAAACAAAATGAAGATGCTTGAATTAAACATGGGCTGCCACGAACATAAATAATTCACTCAATTGTATTTGCTATGGATTTTAATTTTAACCATTGAACTAAATATCCAGATTATTAAAACGACAATCTAATGTTTTTCATTTATTAATACTAATGTGGTTTCAACGATTTTATTTCAATTACACTGATCTTGTTGATACATCATTCTTTTTTCCGTGTTGTAATCGGCTCAGAAGTTCCACATATATTGTCTTTGAAATATAGGATAAAAGCGAAACTATACACGGACATGTCAGGGAAAGATACACGAATTTCATTCTTCTTAGAATAAGTAATTTTTGAGTAGTTAACTCAGTTTTTATCACTTTATCCATATACTTGTACGGCCTTGACATGCAGATCTTTAAAATCGTTAAATAACTATGCTCTCGATTACGTCTCGACTGGCTCTACGTAGTTTTTTAATGCAATGTCTCTTCTTTTGCAGTCTACACTTAACTACAATGTGTCTACAGTATAAACCAACCGTTGTCGCCTGTTTTTGCATACACCTCGCATGTAAATGGTCTAATTGGGAGGTAAGAGAAATACATATCTTATAAACATTCACGTGAGTCGCTGCAGAGTGCTGATTATTGTCACTTGTGTACGATGTATAATTGTAATATAAAAATTACCCGTATTGCGTTTATCTTTATCGGTTGAATTGACTCCTGCCTGTTTCGATTCTCCGAAAACGCATTAACGCATATATAGATATTGATACGCCTTTGATATTATCTGTCCTTTTTGTGCACAGATACCACAGAGTGTTGAAGGAAAACAGTGGTTTTGGTACGTAGACAAATCCGTAACTGCAAGCCTCCTCCAAGAACTTACAGACGAATTTCTTCATATATTCGACAAGTGCCCATCGAGATTAAAACGAAAAATCATGAGCATCTCCGCGAATCAGAGTCCAAGCATGCATCATCCGAGTCTCCCAAATTCGCCATTCGTAAGTAACTCGCACACGTACGAATTTGATTCTCTTGTCGCATTTCCTTTTTATTCTCTTCCATGGACGAAGTATTGTATCTTCTCTTCAGGATACCGAGCCGCGTAGAATACAATCTCCAGCAACATTGGACGGTGCCGCTGCAGCCGTTGTTGCACATTTTAGAGGCTCCCATCACATGGATGACGTCAGCCATTCGAGCCGTTCTCATCACACGGTGGAAGGTGTCGCTCATTCGAGTCGCTCTCATCACGTAGCGGAAGGCACCTCGGGTGCCTCCGCCGTCGCCTCTGCTCATTCGAGCCGCTCTCACCACGGGTCGGATAGTGCCGCTTCTACCTCCAGCTCCTCCGTTACTGCCCATTCAAGTCGCTCTCATCACACGACGGACGGCGCCAGCCATTCGAGTCGTTCTCATCACGCGACAGACAGCGCGGCCTCTGCCGCCCATTCGAGTCGTACGCATCACGTGGACAGCGCCGCCGCAGTCGCTGTCCATTCGAGTCGCTCGCATCACGGGCAGCAGGAGAAGCAGGATGAGAAGAAAACCGGGGCTATCGCAGGACCATCGAGAACAACCGCGATAGATTTCCGAGAGTATCGGGAGCGAGAGAAGAGGGATCGGGAGCGTACTCTGGAGCGGGAGAAGGCAGCCGCCGCTATCCTGACGAGCCATCTCGGTGATCCTAACAAGCCCCACCATTCGCATCATCATAAACAAATGTCGAGCGCAAGTATGCCGAGCAAACACCAGATGCCCTCTATGCAAAAGGGCACTGGCGCCCTTCATCATAATCATCATCATCGGCCGGACATGAAAGTCGGTCAACCGGTGCCGCAAAGACACTCGGCTGGCAGTCAACTTAATCGTGAGCCCAATAGGCAACGATTGCCGAGAGAGCACAATGCCGGTATGGCCAGCACAAGTGCTGGTGTAGCACACTCCTCGCATCATGCCAATTTAGATAGTTCCTCGTCCGAATCTATACCACATAGGTCGGACAGCGGCGCCGGGCAAGATTCCGCGTCCTCGGCGCATGGTAGTTTGCAGGAGAAGAGTAATAATCACAGCGGACATAGACTGAACGCGCTCGATGGCAAGCATCAGGCGCACGACAAGAGGTTGTACCGCGGGGAGGACCCGAGGCTCAAGTCCGCAAAGTATCTAGATATGAACAGAATTGAGAATCAACGGCGGAAAGCGGAGACGCTGGAGCAGAGAAGCGAGGAAGTGCGGAAACTGATCGAGAAGCCGTTACCGCCGCCGAAACAGGCGGATATACCATATTTCATGCATGCGCAGCAGAAACAGCAGGCGCACCATGCCAAGTACAATCAGCAGCAGCAGCAGCAGCAGGAGAAAGGCAGTTCATTCGTGAGTGATACGAAGCATGCACCGACTGCCAGCCAGAACGCGCTTCCGCAGGGCACGTCGCCAGGCGCCTCGTCGTCGCAGAAGACCGCGTCCGCTAAGGTGTACAGCCAGCACACTGCGCAGGGTGTATCCCAGATTCTGAAGGATATCATCAAAAATGGCAATTCTCAGTCTTGTCTGAGTACACTGAACAACGTGGATGATACGAAGTCGGAGAAGCGTTCGCGATCGACAGCGCACGAGGAATTCGCCGAGAGGAATTCCGTCGACGTTCTACAGGGCAATTTGCATACGCCACCTAGCAAGCACAGATCGCTGTTCAGTCCGGAGACGCCGATTGTGCCCAGAGAACCGCACGTGCAAGGCGCAAAGCCTAAGTCGAAACAGAAGACGCCACCCTCCGCAGCCGCGAAGCTGAAAGAACGCGTGTCGCCGTTCGTGAGCTCTCCTACTATGCAAGACGCGTTAACGATGAAACGACCGTCCAATGATGCGCATAAGAGGACCCGTGCATCGAACATCAGCGAGAGTGAACATTCGATGAAGGTGATAAAACAGGAAATCAAGACAGAAATCAAGACGGAAATTAAGACAGAAATCAAGACGGAGGATGCAGCCAGTTTGGAGGCGATGAAGATGCTCGGCCGCGTGCCCGACTTGATTCAACCCCTCCGCGACAATCCGTCATCGTCGAACGGCAGGAACAGCAGCGCGTCATCCGTCATTAACGACCTGAAACCGCCGGAGCTCATCAAACCATTTGAGTCGGATCAGCTTCGTTTCAACGCGATGTCACAGCACAAAGCATCATCGATAAATGTGAACGCACTGACTAATGGCATGGACCTTAACGTGGTGGTGAAGCATGAATTCCCGGAACATCGTGTGAAACGGGAACCTGTGGACCATTGTATAAAGAAAGAGCTATTGGAACACAGAACCCCGGAACTGACTCATACCCAGTCGCAGATAAAAGTCGAGTACACGTCGCCGATGAAGTCCGCGCAGAGTATAAGCGCGTTGCTCCAGGAGACACTGCCGCCGATGCCGTCGCTGTTGCAGGGACTGCAACAACCTGGCCAATCGTCTACCCAACGGGTGCACCAGGAACAATTGCAGCACCAGCACCAGCAGCATCAGCTACAGTCGATTCAGCATTCGTTGATGGATCACCAATTGCCAGTGACGACTCAATGTTTATCGATGACTAGCGACAGTTTCACGCCGATAGCCTCGACCGTTGATATCAGTGTTCTCTCCGACAGTATATCAATGACACTACCAAGCAACAGTAACATGATGGAGTTGGCAGCGCCAGCAGCCACCGTGGTAGCAGCTGTTCCTCCAGTCGAGGAGAAGCGGTCGGAGCATCATAAGAGTGAGAAAAAGAAAAAGAAGGAGAAACACAAGCATAAAGATAAAGAGAAGACTAAAGACAAGCATAAGCACAAACATAAGGATAAGGACAAGGAGAAGCATCGTGAGAAAAAAGATAAGGAGAAAAGCGAGGAGACGCCAGCGGCGGCGCCCATAAAAATCACGATTCCCAAGGACAAACTGAACCTGGGGACGGAAGCGTCGTCGTCTACTGTGACCGGCGGAGGAGTCGGCTCGCTGGACAAAAATATATCGCCGCAGGGCACGGGTCTGAAAATCAAGATCCCCAAAGAACGGCTCAAGGGGAGCGATAGCGTGCCCAGTTTGCCAGCGCTGCCACCATTGGTGCAGGGTCCGCTAAAGATCAAGATCCGCACCGATATTATCGCGAGGAGTTCCGCGTCGACGCCGCTGCCGCCGCTGATGCCGCCGCCGTCGATGTCATCAACGTCATCAACGTCGTCGTCGAACGGTTCGAGCGGATCCTCGCACATGCAGCTCCTTTCCGGCGAGCCATCCGCGAACGAAACGACGAGCCGGAAGCGCGAGCGAGCCGAGACGATCGGCGACAGCTCGGGCAGCCTCCCGCTCGCGAAGAAGCAAGCGCTGACGATACCAGCGACGAGTGGGTACGGCCAGAGCCATCGACCTGGGGAACGGCAGAACGGCAGGCACTATAACACCAGCAGTAATAATAAGGTACGTGGTAGAGGCGTCCGTCAGCATCACGGCGGTCGCGGTCCACCACCACATCACGCAGTTGCCGGTCAGCGCGGTAATGCTGGTGGTCACTACCAGCGGGAGATTTACGGTAACGGCCGCGGTAGCCGCGGTCATCAGCATTATCCTCCCCACCAGTTCCACCATCCCCCGACCGTTCGCGGCGACGTCGGCGGGTTTCCGCGTGACCAGGGCGCGGAGTCTTATTTTTATGCTAATTATCCGACATCAATGTTTAATACGCCCGCTGGTTACGTGTACGACCCCTCCTATCAACAGTACTATCAGCAATTTCAACAATCTCAGTACTCGATGTACCCGGCGGGAAGTAATCTGATAATGACGCCGGACGGCGCCATCAACACGTCGGTGCCACCGCCGTCGTTGCTCTCAAATCACCTCTATCAGAATCAAAGCGTCATTCACTCTCAGTCGGCAGCGTCCACCCGGCAGGAAGATACGCAATTGTTGCCCCCACCGCCTCTTCAACCGCCACCGTCGCCTCCTCCCCTGCCGAGTGGGCCGCCACCACCGCCGCCTCCACCGCCACCTCCTCCGTCAATGTCAGAATGATGAGACGTCTCACTTTATATGTATATATGTATATATTGTATATACACACGTGTCTGCCTTAAAATTCTGCGTGAAACGTCTAAGAAGCCAGGGTGAGCCAACCTACGGATTATTCTTGGCTAACATTTTCGTTCGATGATTATGATTTTGTGTCATCAATAACTGATAATTTGCCAGAGCGTTCAAATCGTAACATTGAATGGAAACGTTTACCAAGACTAATCCGTGTAGGACTCTAGCGTCCTACAAGATACAGAATTTTAAGACTGATAGGTGATTAGTCAATCCGCAATGCTCGGTTTCGGCGTCATGATCCCTCTTGCACATCTGTGCATCAGATATTGTATACGGGATCTACAATTCAAAACGGATACATGTACAGACGACGAGGGCAACAATTGCGTATCTTCCTGTCGAGCGAACGCAACCGACTGAGAGTGAATTACGTTTCGATTTCGATCTAGATAGAAGTGATTTTTGGAACAACGCTGATTCAGGACGGTTCTATAGAGGAATGTTTATGACGAGATACTCTCAGTGGGTTGTCACTTCCTTCCGAGGTTGAATAAAACCAACGGATATTCTGACTGGAATTGAACTCGAATCTTCTACTCGTTGGAGCAGCGCATATCTCTGCACTGTCGCCACAATATATTCTGGCGATCGTGGTGTACGTGCGCTGCTCTAATAAGACGAGGATCCAAGTTTAAATCCAATCAAAACATCGTTGGTTTTTATTCGGTCATAAATATCATTTGAACGATATCCAAACGATGATCAAATATTGTCATCCTGCCACGCATATCCCTTTAGGGGTATAGCCCTCCAGATTAGAGATTTCCTTCGGCAAGGTTAGCAACATACCGAAGATGAAGCAAAACCAAATGCTGAGTACCGGAAACGAACTGGATAAAACAGGCACACTAATATACGAGCAGGAAGAAGATATATCGTGGTCGCTACCAGCGGGAGATTTATAGTGACGGTTGCGTTCATCGGCATTCATTCCCATCAGTTTCACCACCCCTCGTGGCCATTCGCGGCGACGTAGACAGGTATACGAGGGAGATCAGGGCACGGGTTCTTATTTTTTATGCTAATTACCCGGCATCAGTGTTTAACACGTACGGGGGCACGTGTACGATTCTGTACATGTCAGCATTTCAATGTATATATTTGATCACCGTTTGGATATCGCGTTCTTTCTTTCCCTCCACTCTTCTTTCTCTTTGTTTCCTTCTTCTTTTTTCCCTTCTGTAGTAGTTCTGTCTCAAATAAAGTGCTCTGGAAGCGATTAATTTTGGATTCGTATATCGCGTTCGAAAATCTGTACATATGAATATGAGAGTGTAATACAGTCTGTATAATTAATCAAACTTATTGGAGGATTTGTGATTAAAAGGAGACCGTATATCTAATATATTCCTCCAACAATATAAAATTCTGTTTATGTAAATATATAATATTTATCTGTCGCATGAACTCAGACTGTGGACATGATAAATTATCTTTGTCACTTTTGAAATTAGTATATATTTTTTATACAAATATATAATGAAAATATACATTTTTTAATATGATTGTACACATATATACATGTATCTCTTTCACTTGGATTGTTGAAATCCATCGCAAGACTTTAATCGTTCTCCAAGCCATACAAACACATGCTATTAATTTTGAATCTTTCTCTTCGATTTTGCGAAACAGTTTAGTAGAATAGCAGCATGACGCCGTGCCGTTTATCCTTTCTCACCTGACTGCTTCGATCGTTTCTTCTTTCCATACATATAATACCCACTGTAGAGAATCTTAGTTGACCGTGTGACATCTCGTTCTAGTGTTTTGAGTCTGTCGTAGTGAAGCGAGTATATAGGTTCGGTAATGCAATCCGAATGCCTAGACACTCGCATGAAAACATGTGCAAATGCAAAGTACCGATGGTATATTGATATGGATAAATTGTGCTATGTTCGATTAAATGCATAGGATCGATCTCTTAAATCTGAAAAGAAGTTAAATTTAAGAGATCGATCCATGCTATAACGATTAAATTTTTTAACTATTGATATTATGACAATGCAACGTGTCGACGATATTATTTGCAAATATTTATTTCCTTTTAATTTCTCTTTTCAAAATTAGTCTCCCCACTTGTAGCCAGCATGATCTACGTACTGTAAGAGTTTGCTCTAGAATACACCTGTTCTTGCTTGCTACTACTTTCCTTTTTATACACAGTACCTAAAAATGATAAAAAAATAATTAAATTATATAAGTTTTAAAAAAAATTAAATTACATAAATTTAAAAAAATGTGAGTGATAAAATTTAAAGAAAGGATGTTTAATTAGTACAGATAATAATTTTTGTCGATATTATTAGATCCTCTAAGCTAAATTATATAGCATTTTTTTATTGTGCAAATTTTCAACATTTTCGAAATGCTATAATTATGCTATTATATAATTATGCTATTTTGTCTATTTTCAAAATGTATATATAATTCAAAAAATTTCCTGTACAGTTCAGATAACCGTTTCAGAAATCATCTTCGATAAGTCTAATCGGAATCCTGAGCTATCTCCGTGATAAGTACTTGTTTTGCTCTGAAGGAAATCGTGAAAGAGAAATATTAGTCAAAGAAATGGGAAATTTTTTGAAAATTTTAACTTTCCCAGAAGTTTCCATATGCAAGGCACTCTTGCAGGCATCTTTTTCTCTGCACATAGTATATCGCTTAATAGTTAAGTAGAATAATTGACTGTTTAACATATAAAAGCCTTAGGGAAGAACACCATAAGATCGTTGAATAAAACCGTGTTGTGAAAGTTTAAGAAGAGGGACACTGCCACGCGCGTGTGATAGACAAAGTACGTTATTAGGTGAAGATATAGTGAAAAAAAAGCGATTTTCTATCGGCGTCAGTCATTCCCGAAAGACTATTTACTCGCGTGAATAGAAGCTCCGCTATTAGCGAACGTGTAATGCTTTTGCCGGTCAGGGAGATGAGCGATTACGTTTACCAATCGTGTTGATTGCATATGGACCTCAACTTGTCCGAAATTGCTAATGACTTCGATCCGAGTACGACAATGTGAATTTTTTATAGAACAAATACTAACTCAGGAACGTCGTATCGAATTATAGTGCGAACGATATATTACGCTAGGAATATTTTCTAAGAGTGTATGCTATGTATACGTATATGCACATGTGTACAACGTTATTTAAGAAATGTATAGTATATAACGTGCAGAGAAGCGGTATTACATCGGAATCGTGAATGTGTCATTGTTAATTGTTATATTGTCACGATTACCATCGTTGTTTTAATATACGCGAACGTCTGGGTTGCGAAAACAGAGGGTCTATGATTAAGAGCATAGTTGATAATCTCATTTAATGATATAAGAAGCTCTGTGTATAGTTATAATATAGTTTTTTCTTCCCGTGTGTACTCGAATACGATTTGATAATAGTACAAACGTATTACCGTTGCGGTCTTTGAACTTTATAAATTATATATATGTATTATATATTTATAGTAAAAATTGATGATTATCGCGAGCTTATAACTATTTACATTTTAATTTAATCTAAACTCTTATGCTAACTTTTGTGTAAAGTCTATATTACTCCAAAGCGGGTCTCGGACAGTAACAAAGAAATATAATTTTACAGTAAAAATATTACAAAATCAAACGTAAAATGAAAAAATAACGAATAGTATCATATTTTCTTCGAAGAAAAAGGGATCGAAAACTGTAGCTAGGACTATCTGTACTTAATTTCGTTTTATCTAACGTTTTAAATTACCTTACACCTTTTTATATCTTGACGTTTATTCTAAATTTCGTCACTTGCGTCTCTTTATCTCTCACCTTTTTCTTCTCTTTTATTTCTAAGTCTCCTCTGTATACAAACATGCCTCATTATCACTGCTTTTATCATCTTTTTCCTCTTATGTGAGCTATAATACATATATATAAAAGTTTATATATGTTAAATATTTTTCTGACGTCTATATTTACATTTGGCTTTCGGTAACTACATCAGAGCTTACACGGGACGAGATTACTTCTAGGCATATGTACTTTTAAACGCGATTTTTCTCGCCGTGTATATGTAGCCAGATATGTGACAAATTTATTAAAGACCACAATGTATGTGCATATGTATATTTATATTCGGTACATTATGCAAAAATTCCGTTTCCGGAATGTGATATTTTATAATCGCCGTGCTGAGGATTTTTCAGGAAGAAAAACTCTCGTATGCTGCATGGGATACTGTTCTCAGGAAACTCGCGCGCGTATTTTCTTTTATTTATCGTGTAAACTGAAGATTAATGTACTGAGCGACTTGATCTCCGCCGATTGTAACCCGACTTATTGCCAATGCGACAATATGTGTGAACGAAATCATGCACGGTGACGAAAACGCAAGTCAAAGAAATAAAGCTGCGAGTAGTGAAATTGTGTAATTACGACAGTAATTGAAAAGCAGTACCATAAAGACAAAATAATTGCTAAGGTAAATCTAGTTTTTATATTCTGTGATCGTAAAAAATTTAAGAGAAAAACAGTAGAGTATATAATGAATATATATATATATGTATAATGTATATTTTAT